TCAGTGCCATAAACATTATCACATCCCTTTCTTTAACCAGTATGTGCTGAAGCACACCAATTAAACACGAACTCCATGTAAACATAAAAGACACAAGTCAATGCAGCTTTGTAACACTATTTTTTTCTTTCAAACGGTAAGTAGTTCAAAAGTTCTTGAAGTTAACTTGGTATCAGCTCATTCCATTCTGCAGTACTCTCTATACTGTCTAAACATAGAGGGGGGAATGACAAAGCATCACAGGGAGCCAGTTAAGTGTGCTGTAATGCATAGAGCCATGCCCATAGAACAGTGTTACAGATGGATGACCGCATCAGTGTGCCAATTTAACTTTCAATGTTTAGTAAAAGGATAGGGAAGGGACCTGTTCATAAAGTTAGTGAAAGTGAGACAGCAGCAGAGAAAGATCAGATCCCTCTCTGCCACACTACACGGGTGTGTATAGTGGGGCAGAGCTGTGTTGACCTCAGGATGGGATGAACAGAAAAAAAAATCCCTCTCTCACTGGACTCCAGTTAGCTCTAAAAAAAAATTGACAAGGTAGTGAGACCCTTCCCCTACCAAGGGATAATTGCTCAACACCTTGTCCCACTGCTCCTTTATAGTCGCAGCCTCCTCAACATCATTCTGGACACTAAGAGACCAGGCGCCCACATTATACATGAGGACTTCAAGAAGGCAACTGCTTCTGTTCATTCCTGTAACCATTGGCAAAACAGGAGGATTTACCCTTGCAATACAGGGAAGGGGGGCAAGGGTGGGGGGAATCTCTGCCTTGTCACTATTTATGGACTGCATCATAACTTTAGGTGATAAACTACTGCATAAACAAAAATTTAATTACAACTGCATAGGCAAACTGAACCTTGAATGAAGAGGCTCTACGATTAACACATTTCTGACAATATTAAATGTCTAGCTGCCCCACTTGAAGATGGCATTTCATATAATTCCTGCGAAGTTCATTTTTCACTTTAAAAAAATACAATGGAAAGGGGTTTTTCTATTTTAAAAAGATGCCAACAAGGAAAATGCATCGAAAATTGAATGTTTGTTTACTTGGCTTGACCCCTTCATCCACCACAACTTAATAACTTTTGTTGAAAATCATATCTACATCTACACTTGGAACTAGAGGTCACTTAACTTGCTTGGATGTACAACCCTAATTCTAAAAAGTTTGGACAATGTGAAAATCTACATAAAAAAAATGCAATAATTTTCAGATCTCATAAACCCAAGTCACAATAGAAAGCAAATATTTAAACTGAGAAATGTACCATTTAACAAATAAAAAAATAAGGTCATTTTGAAATTGATAACAGCAACCGGTCTCAAAGAAGTTGAGACAGGGCAACTAAAAGATGTCAAATTAAGCGGTACTACTAAGGAAGTGCTGGAAGAACATTTTTCAAAACGCCAGTAACATGATTAGGTATAAAAAACATCCTAAAGAGTCAGAGTGTTTCAGAAGTAAAGAAGAGTTCAACAAATCTGTGAAAAATGGTCTAAAAATGTTAAATAACTTAAAAATATTCCTCAATGTAAAATTGCAAAGACTTTAAATATGTCATCATCTGCAGTACATAATATGAAAAGCTTCAGCGAATCTGGAGAAATCTCTGTGCACAAGGGACAAGACCAAAATGCAATACTGGATGCCTGTGATCTTCAGGTCCCCAGACAGCACTGCATTAAAAACGGGCAGGATTCTGTGATTGAACATCACTGCATGGGCTCAGGAAATACTTCCAAAAATCACTGCCTGTAAAAATCGTTCACTGCACCATCCAAAAGTGCAAGTTAAAGCTCAATCATACAAAGAAGCCATATCCGAACATGATCCAGAAATGCCGCCATCTTCTATGGGCCAAAGCTCATTTAAAATGTCTGTTACAAAGTGGAAAACTGTTCTGTCAGAATAATTCGAAATTTAACACTTTCTTGTCATCCATAGGTGTTGCGTCCTCTAGACGCAAGACGAAAGGGAAATCCCTTGCTTGTTATCAGTGCTCAGTTCAAAAACCTGCACCTCTGATAGTATCAGAGTGCATTTGTGCATATGGAACAAGCAGATTGCACATCTAAAAATGCAAAAGATATATCCAGGTTTTAAAGCAGCATATGGTTCCATCCAGTCAATGTCTTTTTCAGGGAAGGGCTTGCATATTTTATTAGAACAATGCTAAACTGCATCTATGACAACAGCATGGCTAGAAGAGTCCGGGTGCTTAACTGGCTTACCTGCAGTTTAGACTTTTCACCAACTGAAAAATATTTGGCGCATCTTGAAATGACAAATTACAACAAAAGATGACCTGGACTGTTGAGCACGTAGAATCCTATATCAGGCAAGAATAGCATGACATCTGCCTAAACTCCTGTAACTCGTCTCCTCAGTTCCCAGACTGTTAAAAGAGGGTGTGCTACTCTGTGGTATACCTGACCCTAGCCCAATGTTTTGTTGCAGCCTTCAATTTCAAAACTCCCTTTTTTCTTTTTTTCCCAAATGGTTCATTTTCTCAGTTTAATCATTTGATGTTTTCTATTGTTCATTGTGAATAAAATATGGATTTATGAGATTTGCAAATAATATATGTTTTTATGTAGATTTTGCACAGAATCCCAACTTTGTTTGAATTGGGGTTGTACAATCATCATCAGAGATCACCATAATCAAGTTCTCATGATAGGAAAATAACAAAACTATAAAAAGAACATTTTTTTTTTCAATCAAGTCTATTTAAGTTTCAAGAAAAAAAAGAAAAAGAAAAGAAATCTTTATATGTCTTTGCACAATACTTTTTATTTTTTGCAATTTTTTTAGTAAAAATTTCAAAAGTGAACAAAAAATACTGTATAAAACACAGTGGACATTAAATTGACAGTAGTATTAGATTAAATTTTGTAGCTCTTCTGCTTCACTTACATCATCTTCACTAGCTGTGGAGAGGTTCAGTGCATTTCTCTGTTCATCAAACATTACAGTTTAAAATGAAAAGAAAAAAAAAAAGAAAAAAAAAAAAAAAGGAATTCTTTAGCAAACCTTACCACAGAAAAAAAAAAGCATGGGATGGGGCGGAGGGAAGGTACACAGTTGAGGGATTATCACATTGACAAAGCTACAAAAAAACCCACCATTTCCAAAATCAACACCCTTTATCCACTTGCCTCATTCCAAGAACAAATGCATTCAAATGATTTGATAAACTACACTAGAAGTTTTTTTTTTTTTCCTTTTGTCTTTTAAGGATTTCAGAATTCTTTATAGTCTCCTATCTACTAGACTGGGGTTTCATTTACAAAATTGGTTTCTAAAGCCTTGTACAAAAAGATGTGTTTTCTATTTTGAAAAAAAAAACACCACACACTGTACAATTTTACAAGGAAGAGATTTGTGTGTCTTTTTTTTTTTGTTTTTGTTTTTTATACCTTGCTGGCATGTCATGAAAGAAATGGATGTGTAAACTTTTTTTTTGTTAATTCAGCAAAGACTATGCATGTCAAAAAAGGATGCTATGCAAGTCTCCCTGACAATACAAGCATTTAAAGACAAAATATAAATTAAGGAATAGAATCCAGAGGTACACAAATGCTGCGCAATTTTTTTTTTTTTTGCCAATGAAAAAAGAAAAAAAAAAAAAAGATGTCATTGGAAGTATTCAGAAAGAAATCAAAGGCTTTTGGTAATACCCATATATTTACATGCACAGCACAGGATGCATGAACAAATTATAAAGATCTCCTTTATAAAATATCCTTACTTATGACAGAGCTTGGTAACCAAATTGTCTAACCCATCGAGGAGCAATGTATTAATGCATCATTCAAGACAAAGTTACCTTTAGAAGTCTGTTGCTCATTGGTCATTCACTGACCATCTTCATGGCAGAGGTCTACTTTTATCACTCAAAGTAATGGCAGGATAATCAAGATCTCATTATGCTGTGCATTATCTTCTCTATCACATTAGGTCAAAGAAGCAAGTGTAAAGAAACTTCTTGGTGGCTAACATTCATAGAATAGGTTTTTTTTTTTTATCAACATATACACCTAAACCTTCCAGTTGCTTGGGAATATATGAGCTGAATAAAAACATGAAGTAAAAACATGAAACCCACAAAAGAGGAATCTTGACGTCCAGAGTGGTTTTAGGTTTCATACATTTGTAGTTAGCCAGCGGAACATTCAAGTCTGAGAGAGATGCTCGTTGTAGGAATGAAAAACATGACATGATCACTCTAACCAACTCTGATCTTAAGAAGCCTAGCAAGGAAAATGCAGATTTTCCGCTCTCAACTTGTTAAACAAAATGGAAAAAAAAAAAAAATATTTTATATATATATAGTCAGTCGCCTTTATACACATCAAATCCTTTGTTATCCTGAGTATGTCACTTAAACAGTAATGTCTTCATTAACAGTGGAAAAAAATTATAATACAAAGTAACGTATCCATATTGCAATTTGTTTTTACAATTGCACATAGACATATGCTTGTACATTAGAAAATACACGTCTGCATATAACAAAGTATGTACATTGGCAAGAGATGTTCTCCAATGCTGAGGTGGTCTCTGTCTTCCTAGCCTTGGTTGGCAGTTTTATATTACGAAAAAGAAAAAAATAGATTTTGTTGTTCAGCGATTAATAAAAGTTTTGCTGGAAGGAAACAAAGTGTAAATAATGAAGGGGGCATAAAAAGAAATAAATGATATTCTAATATTTTATGCCTTCAGAGAAGTTAAAAAAAAAAAAACCTATTTTTTAAAATTCTGGTTATTTTTCCATCATCAGGAGCTTGTTATTAAAGAGTGTTAAAAAGTTACAGCTCCCCCTCCAGCTTGTACAATGGTACGGTCTCATTTTCCTCCTCGTGTCCAGATCCAATTCTTGGTTGCTAACAAGGGGAAATAGTGACTGTCTGTAGGTATTTCTTTGGAGTGAATCTTTCCCATGGTAGGCACTAGGAAGAACCAAAGGCAAAATAAAAAGCTGCAGTTAACGTCTCATGTGTCCCATCTGGTAACTTTCTCGTGGTCTCTGGCGTGGAGGTTGTTGAGTTGTTTGTGGTGGTCGTCTCCTCTTCAATGTGCCTGCAGCAAAACAAGAAGATTTACTATGCAGCATACATACCTATCTGTATATTGCAAATGAAAATAACACAGTCTTTTCCATTAAGAGCTGCTTCACACCAGAAAGCATGTGTTTTTACCAGCCCATTCATTTCAATGGGTCACAAAACGTGCGGAACACGCAAAAAGTATGGAAGGTTCAACTTTTAAAAATTGCACCACGTCCAACTGAATGGTGCTGTGGTACCATGTGGTTTGGTGCCCACAAATGTGCAGCGTTTGGGGTGCTAAAACAATTAATGTGACCCACACGCATCTAACAAGGGCAGCGAGTTCACATGCGGTGAATATGCATGGAAATGCACAGTTCCCACAAGGTGTTCTGGTGTGAACGGGTCCAAAAAGGATATTATAAAATTACAGAACACACACTTGGATCTGATAGGTAGATGATACAAAAAGAATATGTGAATAAGACGGATAAGACGGGCCTGAAGGTGATATCAGCAAATAGACACATTCTCAACTACAGGTATTGACATACTTCGAAATGTTGCTATAGTTCTAAAACCTTGAGACAAGCAAGCACTTTAATGTTAAGATTTCTTGTTTTCATTTTATTTAAACTTCTCCTAAACTAAGACTAAGTCTAGCACACCCTAAATAACAGAACTTCGTACAAATCCAGTGTTCAGTGCTTAGGAAAGGGAGCCTCCACAGAGGTGGAGAGAGAATGTGTGTGTTTGAATAACACACTTAATATTTTGAAAGTCACTTTAAAGTATTACTAAAGCCAGGACCCTGCATTCACTCCATCTGGTCTCCCAAGTACACAGAACATGGAACGTGCAATTAATTTACTAAAATATAAACTGCTAAATACCTTTTCTTATCAGCAGTTAGAGCAGTCTTGTGACTTCTATTAGTGTTCAGCAGAGCACATGTTAAAGCTTGTAGGTCGTGTTTTCTTTCTTCTCTAGCAGGATGCAGAGCCCCTGACCTCTGTCTGGACAGTGCTGATTGGCCCTGTACTGATCACATGCACCATCCCAAGCAAAAAAAAAAAAAAATCAAAAAACAAAAAAAAAAAAAACCCTCTCTAGCAATACAAACTACACTGAGCATGTACAGAGTGTCCTAACACAGATATGTCTTATCAAGAGATAAGAGGAGGGCACTGGAAGGAGGGGAGGATCAGTGAAGTCTATCATACAGCCTTTTTACACAATGCACAGGATTAACCCCTTAGGTCTCACAGTGAGTATATCAAGCTTGCTTTACTGCATATACAGACTGATTTAACGGTTGTGGGTTTAGTAACACTTTAACTACCGCCTCACGTCTTTAAAACTGCTAGGAGGTGGGTGGTTATTTACCCAGCGCTGTGTAAACAGCACTGGATAAAGTGTGCACAGAGTCAATCTGAGTTGCTCTGTACTTTGGAATTGCTCGGAGTGGTCATACTGAGATCAAACACAGATATAAACCTCTTTGTTTTAACAGAGGTAAATAATATTGTAATTAGAAATATATTTTAGTTAGATAGAAAATATATTTAGACCACTGAGTGTATTTTAGCATCAAACCAGTCTTCGCTTCCCTGCTGTTACTGTAAATAGTTTCTACTTACATTGTCTTTCCTTACCACATCTCACATAGTCATGGTAAAAAATATTGGCACCCCTGCATATCTGTCAGATAATGCACCACTCCGCTCAAAAAACTGTTGCAATTACAAAATGCTTCAGCATTCTCTTGTTTATTTCGTTTGTTTGTATTGGTATGACACAAAAGTGGAGAAAATCTTTGATCAGTTTTTCTTTTGTCCATGCCCAGGGAGATTAGCTACAGTGCCATGGGCTGTACACTCCTTGACAATGCTGCACACAGTGGACACCTGGAGATGGACTTATAACCTTGAGATTGTCCATGCTATGCCACAATTTTTGTTCTCAAATCCTCCGATTTGAGAAATCCTCAGATGAAAAATTGACACAACCTTTCTGTTGTGTGTCTCAGCATTTTCACAGGTTGCCGGTGCGATTTTTTATATTGCCACCACCTGTTAATTGATACAGGTGAGTTTAATTACAAATTACAGGAGCATCACAAACTTGGAATGCAATTATTTCTTACAATTTTGAGAAGGTGCCAATAATTTTGCCCAGTCCATTTTTGGGGTTTTGCATGGAATGTGTCAGATTTGGCTTTTTGTTTCTCTACCTTTTTGTGTTATATCAATACGAACAAAAGAAATAAACACAAGAATGCCTAAACATTTGTAACTAACAATATTCTGGGCGAAGTGGTGCATTATCTGACAGAAATGCAAAGGGTGTAAATATTTTTGGCCATGACTGTAGGTTGTAAACAGAAGGCTTTTTTGAATCCTCCAATCAGGCTGCGCCAAATATACATTTGTTAGGTATAGTGACCATTTAGGGTGCATTGTGTCAGCCACTGTACAGAAAGGAGAGGGGAATATAATGCATGGGTAACAAGCTGTTCGCTCTCTGTGCTGGGACACAGAAGCATTCAGTATCACCACGCCTGAACCTGAAAGATAAAACTTCATACTTGTACCGTAAATGGCATTGTAAATATGGTTTGGGTTTAATTTGTAACTATCACATAACCCAGTGTACTTCTAGTGTACATTGTTTTGTAAATAATTTGTATATATGATGTAACTATCAATAAATTTATATTGCAGTTTGAACTACCTCTTTTTCAAATCCTCAGATCTAGCTGTTTATGTGAATACTCCTATAATGATTGGAGTGTATTCACATATACTCTTAATGGCCCAACACCAAGTGGAAAAACAGACTAATTAAATCTTAGAAAAAGCACTCATTAGGACTAGATATAGCAGATTAGAAGAAAAAAAAAAAAAAAAAAAAAAGAAGAAGGTAAACATCACTAAACTAGTTATATAATAAAAAAAAAGGTTGGTATGAAGAACAAGCACTAACAACCCACTGGTCGAGTCTCTAAATTCAATAACCTTGTTGCCTGTCACTTTAACCTCTTCACTCCGGCGCCTCCTGGCCCTTTAAGAGTTTCCGAAGCCAGGAGGTGGGGCGGGGTTTAGGGTCATGTGACCGCCGTCGGCACATATGTCCTTTATTAATAGGACGCAAATGTGCGGCTGCTCGGCGTCTAGGCCCAGACGCCGGGAGGCCACACATTTGTGTTCGGCCGGCGTGAAGAGGATTAAACAAGCTAGTAACAGGGTTCAGAAGTCTTTCAACAATCTTCGAGTAATTCTGAAGTCTACAAAAGCCTGCTATCAGCTTGCTTAAAGCAAAAAACCAGCACTCCCGATAGGTTCAATGTTTAAAATACCTGTACTCAAAATGAATAGCACTTTAAAGGCTACTGTCCACGGGAGCTTGTATATACTATACACACCCTATACCAATTATTCAGCTGGAAACAGAATAATCACAAATTCAGGCTGAAACCCAAGATAAAGAATTCTATCTAACAAAGAAGTAAAACTAAAGTACATAAACCATTAAAATAAAATCCATTGCACATACCTGGAAGAGGTTTGGGTGGCGGCAATTTGGGATTGCTACTTGGTGTATGGACACTGCATATCTTGATAAACCCAGCCATCAACATTATCAGTGCTATTCCCATTAACAATACAGCCCACCAGTGAGCCTAAAAAACAACAGAAGGTCATGTATGGAGAGCTCCTATAGAATTGTCAGTTTAATGAAATACAAAGAAGGCATTATTAATTTTTTATTTAATTAAAGCAAGTTTTTCACAAACCTGTCTATTTGAAACCAAACCGATAAGAAATAAAATGCAAAAGAAAACCAAAACAGTCAGTAGACCAGGAAAACGGATACTAATATTACGTGATTAAATAAAATAAAAAAATTTTAGCCCCACTCTTGCCTGCCAAGGTTTCCTACTGGTCACTGAGGTCACCCATCACAAATTGAGCAATAGGGTAGCTTGCACTGAAGGCGAGAGGGGAAAAAGTCCATTTGTATATCATTTCAGCTGCCTATATCTCAGCATCTACTGATAATTTTTTGACATTGATAGATTTTGCATTTTGTTTTGTTTACACATTGTTTTTATTTTAACCACTTGCCCTCCAGAGGATTTACACCCCCTTCCTGACCAGGCCATTTTTTTTGTAATTCCTTTATTTATGGCATTTTACAGTTAAGGCATAATGGCCAGAGAAAAATAGAACATAGCAATGTAAAATGATTACAAAAGAAAAGGCAATATACAGGTCAAAAAGACCAAACATCAATGCTATATTGGACAGAGTAGGCAGGAACAGATAGAGGACCGCTACATTGTACTAAGCGGACCCTAGCAGTAGAAAAAGTAATGGTACACAGACAGATATCCCAGTTGGACAGGTCAGAATAAGATCCAGACCTTCCCGGTTTCCAGAGCACGAGGCCATTTTTTGCTTTATGGCGCTACGTTACTTTAACAACTGCGGTCATGCAACGCTGCACCCAAATGAAATTGACATCCTTTTTTTCCCACGAATAGAACTTTCTTTTGGTGGTATTTGATTACCTGTGTGGTTTTTATTTATTTTTTGCACTATAAAAAAAAAAGACCAACAATTCTGAGAAAAGAACAAAAACAATATTTTTGACTTTTTGCTACTAAACATGTTCAGTAAAAAAAAATTTTAAAAATCAAATTTAGTCATAAATTTAGGCCAAAATGTATTCTACTACATGTCTTTGCTACAAAAAAAAAAATCCCAATACGTGTAAATTAATTGGTTTACGTGAAAGTTATAGCATTTACAAATGGCGGTCTATATACTGGGATTTTATTTTTACTAGTAATGGCAGCGATCAGCGATTTATAGCAGGAACTGCGGCGGGTATTCTGACACTGGGTGAAACTGACTTGGTGTCACCGACATCCCCAGTGACACCTATACAGTGATCATTGCTAATAAAAAGCACCGACAGTGTACTAATGACACTGGGCAGGAAGGGGTTAACATCTGGAGCGATCAAAGGGTTAACTGTGTGCTGTCTTACTAGGGGCTGTGTGTTTGTGCTTCACTGTAAGCACACTGTTTTGCATGGCTCTGCTGTGCACAGCCATGCAAAGCAGTGTGCACAAGCTGACGGAGGAGAACTGTTTTGTTTACAAACCGGTCTGCCCATCGTCGGAGATGCACAGCAATCACTGGGCGCCAGCGAGTAACCGCCGGCTGGGACCCGGTGATTGACAGCCACAAATGGCGGTGCGGGTAGGGCACACACGGCCCCTACGCAGAAATGCAAAAATCATGTATATATATATATATAGTGTATATATATATATATATATATATATATATATATATATATATATATATATACATACATACATACATGCACGCATGATTTTACACACACAATTTTGCTCACCCCTGCCGCCCCGGAAGCAGTATTTCTGCTACAGGGCGGAGGGAAATGCGGTTAAAATCCACTAAGTGCAGAACATAACATTGCACGATAGGTTTTGCATTCCCATAAAAATGCAAAATCTGCTTGAAGTAGGTGAAATGCAGGTCAAACTGAGGTCAACTGCAAGTCAAATGCATCTCAAAATGATGCATCAACACTTGTCCGGAGCCCATCAACACAGGCCCTAATGGCGAGACCACAAATAGTTGAGAAGAATGCCCTCTAGGGCAACTTGTGACCTTACAACAATTACAATTGTTTTTAGGATCACAAGAAAAAAACCTTTTCACATTAACCAATTAGCATGTCAATGTTCCATGTTCAATTTCATCCTAAAAAGAGCATTTTGGCACCTATATCATGTCAACATACTTCAAGCAATAAAGATGTACTTTTAGAATCTGTCCACAACCCCCTCCAGGATTGAACAAATTTACAAAGGCAGTAGAAGGAAACAAAGTAATAGATGTTCAACTGTTGTAGTGCAGCTTAGGGACACATAAACCTTTAGTTAGAAAACGGCAGTATACATCCCTCTCAGATGTTCGATGCTTAGCAAGCTGAACCTTACACTGGATATAAAAAGGGTTTCTCAGGCTAGGAGTGGATCTGCTAAACATGAAAAGAGGCATTTTGATTTACCTTAGACCTAGGGATAGAAGTACCAGCCTATAACCCAAGGTCTATAAATACTATAATCAGCACAGTAATCAGCAGGGCAGCTGTGTAAGTAAAATCAAGGGCTTTTACATTTGCAAAATTATAAAATAATTTTAAACGCATGTAAAAATTTTAAAAATTGCCTTCTTATATTTGCTACTTTTGTTCTGTTATATACATCATTAAAATCACTTTTCCACCCCTCTGTGTAAAGCAGGTTATACATAAACAGTTTTTTCTTTTGTTCAAACAGTGGATTGAACCAAAAAAAAAAAAATAAAAAAATAAAAACCAGATACCTGGATCCCCACAAGCTATGTGGATGCAAGGCTCACCCCTACCACACTACTGTATTCTTACAGCAGGGGCTCCTCCCCCCACCCTCTTGACAGAACACAGATCAGTGCTGGAGCTATGGGACAACATTCAGCACGTGTGTACTCGCCTGTCTGATAGAAGCTGGCCAAGCGGCTGGATTATGTCACAAAGGCATGCTGGAAAACAGCATCTGATCAGCCCATCTGATTGGTGTGTTCAGGTATGGGGGTAGCGCCCCTGTCAGAACACAATAGCTAAGCGGGGAGATCGCTGTACTAACATCAGATCGCTGGGTTGAACCAAAAAAAATGATGGTGTGGACCACTTCGTTTTTTTTTTTTGCAGTCACTCAGGTTTCTTAGAAATTAACCTAATCCCAACCGCACTATAGCCAAAAGATGGCTACAGAGCGGTTGTCTAGTTCTGGGAGGGCGTCCATGGACATCCTCCCAGAATGCGCACCCCAGTGGTGCGGACACAGCTGACCACGTGTTGTGTAAAAGACCAATCACAGCAACCTTTTATGACGTGATCAGCAGTGTCTAATGAAACAGCAGATCACTGCATAAATACAGTTGCCGGTTATCAGCTGCACTTTCCTCACGCTGTCACAGCATGAGGAAAGTACTGCCGATAACCAGTAATTGTCACAGAAGAGATCAGCAATGATCATCAGGGCACTGATGATCAGTGCCCAGTAGTGCCACCCACCTGTGCCCAGCAGTGCCCATCAATGCAGCCTATCCATGCCACCTCAAAGCCCATCAGTTCCACCTCATTAGTGCCCATCAGTGCTGCCTATCAGTGACCATCAACGCATGGTGGCTCATTAACCACTTTACAACCACACTAGCGCCAAATGATGGCTACAGCGAGATTATCCAGTTGTGAGAAGGCATCATGACATCCTCCCAGTGGCGCGCACCTGGTGCTGTCAGTGAACACTGTGTCCTACAGACACAGCCGATCACATGACTAGGTAAAAGGCCAATCGCAGCAGAATTTTACGTGATCAGCTGTGTCCAATCACACAGCAGATCACAAAGTAAATACAAAAACGTTACAGAGGACACCCACACTGATGATCTGTGCCACGCCCATCTGTGCTGCCTATCAGTTCCACCTTCTCAGGGCCCATCAGTGCTGCCTATCAGTGCTGCCTCATCAAGGCACATTAGTGCTGCCTCATCCAGGCACAGCAGTGAAGGAGAAATAAATTTTTTATAATGGTCAAGCTCATGAGAAGGTAATGGAATTATTAGTTTACCACCAAGTATGGTTATCCTGTTTTACACGATCAGTGTATATATTTTTTATGTTTCCACTACAACTATCCCTCTTTGGTTTCCATTATAGGAAGTCATTCCATTTATTGTGGTGTTTACCAAAGAATATTTCTGAAGAATGATCTCCCTATCCAGATACCATGTGGAATCATATGGAATTCTTGGATTATGTGGTTAGGGAACTTCATTGCCTTATGTGGATTCCTTGTTGCCGACAAACAACCAGATTTGAAGATGCCGAATGTTTAATTTTTTGATTTTATTATGATTTGTTCACTGTGTCAATGTCTAACCTCTTTATGATCCATGTGATCAAATAAAATATTTTTGTAGCTATTATCTATGCAGTTACATTACTCCGCATGGGTTTTCAATTAACCACTTTTTGCAGGCAGTGCTGCACTTGTCATACTGCCATTTTTTCTATTTAGTATCTTGGGTTTATAAATCCACATTTATACTGTAAGTGAGACGGAGATATTACTATGACACGGATATACATGTCAAATTAGATGGCTTTTTTTTTTTTTTTTTGTTTGAAGGAGAAAAATTACCTGTCTGCATAATTTTATAATAGAAACAAAAACTTTTTTTCCCAATATTTTGCTCTTTGATTTCAGTGCAAAAAATAAAAAACCCAGTGGCGATTATACCACCAAAAGAAAGCACTATTTGTGTGAAAAAAAATGATAAAAATGTCATTATGGTACAATGTTGCATGGCCGCGCAATGGTCAAAGTGCAACAGCACCGAAAGCTGAAAATTGGCCAGGGCACAAAGGGGGTAAAAGTGCCGGGTAGGCAAGTGGTTAACAACTCATTTAGAACAGGGAGGGGAAAAAAAAAAAAACAGGTAACAATCCTAGATCAGATAGATTTGAGAGTAGAGGCTAAATATTTGCAAAACAAGAAAAGCTATTTCATGTAGACATACATACCACAATCCATTCAGCAATATTTTCATATAGTTCTGGGTTGAAAATAGCCTTTTTCAATCGTGCCAAAGGACCATCAGCATCAACCAATCGGCATCGCATGAAGACATCACAGTATCCTTTGAACTCATTGCAAGGTGATCCTGGTTGCAGAGTGATGGTTTTACCTTTGAAGTAACCTCTCCATACATCAGATCCCGTACTTGCACAGGTAAGAGGCTTCACTACAAAGTAAGGAAATACAACAGATCTCTGAATATTTAGAACGGGATTTATAAGGTAGAGAAAGAATTGCAGTAACCTGCAGTAATCCATCAATAGTCTGCTTTCAGCAAAAGGAGTTCAGTAAAATGAAATTAAATGCATGGTGTGGGTTACAGCACCTCACACTTTAATGTTCTTCTTAGTACAGCTATAGTACATAAGGGTATTGTGTTTTAAGGCACAACTCCTTTTCCCATGTAGTGGGGCAATAGAGCGGCAGGGACCAGTCTTGGGTTCGGAGGATCAATGTATTACGCAAGTAAATCTCCACTTTCCTCACCCCCAGACACAAACTAGCAGTTAACCCAAGCAGTACGGGCACAGCCCCACTGCATGACAAAAAAAAAAAAAAAATCATGTACATTACTTTAAAAGGACACTGCACTACAAATACACATTACTATGCATTTTAGCAACAAGAAATTCTGCAAACAAAAAGCTTTTAGCTTTGCCTTTTCTTTCCATGTATTGTGAGCTTTCTTCACAGGTCTTGGAAGTGTAGAAATGACCGTTTACAATCAGTGCAGACAGCAACATGTCTGCAGACCAGGATTGGGCACATTCTACCTTCCACAGCTGGCTATCCTGAATCACATGGGGTGGAGAATGTGAGCAAGAACAGATAAAGGCACTGCAATTAACAGTTCAAGATCTTTTAATCCAATGCTCAGGCAAGTCTAATTCAGAAGTGATCATATCATTGAAGACCATAAACCAAATATATTTGTGGAGTTGAGGTCTTCCATGTCCTCATTAAGCATTATTACTGATATAAGCATCTCAGTGTTGACTTATGAGGGGTTTATGTATAATCTTCATCAGCAACTGTAAATAGATATTTTTATAACTATATGTTAACCAAGTTACAAAGCTGGAAATATCAGAGCTTGGTTTGATAGCGGTGGGTTGTACATAGACATTGGAACAAGTGATCAAGTTGTAGAGATAGCTTTGTATTGTATTGGAGGAATGTTTGGTGTGTAAACATGTGCATGCCACAGGAAATGTTCTATTATGTGAGAGGGGGCAACCACTAAATTACCTTATTCTCAGACTTTATGGGGCCCACATAATGATCTAGACCAGGCCATTTAAATCTCTTTGGTTGTATGAGGGCCACTTCAAAGTACCCTCTCTTTAGATATGCAATGGTGATGGCTATCTGGGGAATGCAGTCTTACCAGGCTATGACCTAAGGTTCCCTCCAAACTCTCAATAATGGAGGGAATTTTGCTGAGAAAGCCTGGATCCAGACGCCTCGGTGCCATGACCTGGCATATGTAATTTTATCACTAAAAGGGGAGGCTCTGGGATGGGGCTGAGTTATGTAAGCGATATGGGATGGGGAAATTGTCCAATCCTGGATGAGATGCGTCAGATATGGAAGATGGATTGGATAGTTCTACCAATCAGGATGGCCCCATGCAAGTCTATGGGAGATAGGTGTATATCAGGGTAGGTTTTGGGGGAAGACAGAGAAGATCCACTGATCCTGGGGGCCCCCATGCTACACCATTGGTAAATATCAGGACATTTCTCTGGCACTTACATGTACACATGATTGTCGTATGTGTTGTCTGTCTTGCTGTTTGTGGGTTTAGGGTATGAATAGTATATGCTTTAATTCATTGGGTGAATCATACATTTTGTTTCTCTTTTTCTTATTGTTAAATAGATAGATTGTGGTATGTTAGTTTAGACCTCCCTACTATTCACCAATAAATTTTGGTTGTTGTGTTAAACCTTTCACTCTTGGTCAAAGAACTCTCATTAAGGTTAATCAAATCATATCAGAGAAATATTATATTGCATATTCCATAGATTTGATCAACAGTGTTGCAGTATTCAAAGCAGCTGTTGGTGGGCACAAAGTTTCAGGCCTAGGGGAGATAAAAAAAATCCAGCCCAGACTATTGACATTACAGTGAGGATGTATTAAGAATGAAAAAGTAGGAAAGCTTTCATACTGCAATGACTGTCTATAAAAATATTTGACACAAAATTGGGGATGTATAGAAAATCTGCTGTAGTAGGAAAACTGAGTAGTAAATGTATGAAGAGCATATCAATAATAATTCACAACCGCTTATGTTTTCACAATGTCGCAAGATAAATTCAATGTTAACTCCAGCATAAACACTTTAAGGTCCAACTCCAGAAATTAAAAAAAAAAAAAAAAAAAGAAAAAAAACAAAAGCAACCATTTTAGAGGAGCACCCTGGGCTGTAAAGGTTAAATCCTAAGTCTAAGGGTTAATGTGCAGGCTGTGTCACAACTTCTTGCTCTGGCCAACTCCGGAGCTCCCCACCTCTGCTTGAAGCTTCTGGTTGAAGGCAGGGCTTTGGCATCATCACGTACAATACAGGGATATTATTCCCGTTTTGTACACTAATGAGGCTGGAGCGCAACTACAGGCAGTCACAGTTTACAGCTGAGGTGCTGTGGGACCGGTCATAGCACTGGAGGGAACCTGCTGGAGCAAGGAATAAGGTACTTACACTTTATTCATGCACCCCTAGACATAAGCATTTGACCCTTTGCAGTTTTAGATGGAATGCAACAGGGTAAGAATCTCATTTTTTGTTTTACTCATGCCTATGGTCCTGCTAGGAGACAAGGCAAAATTGCCACCAAGGTATCTGTAGTATATTTCTTACCGCCTATGGTTCTATTCTATAGTCTGCTTTTCTGAGCTCTGAAAGCAAGGGGTCCTTAATCTTTGAAAGGTCATTCATAATAAGAACTAATAAAGCTTATTTTAACTGAAAACCATGCTGGTTTTCTGTATATCAAATTACAGGCATCCACCCGTGCCTATGAAGGTTCTTTTGAACAAGAAGTGCTGCTAAAAATATTAACACAAAATTTGGATAGCTCCACCTAGTACCATTTGTCAAATACTAAGATTTCAAAGCAAGTGATAGCTGAAGGATAAAAGTACAATAACTTGCAAGGAATTACATTACTATTGTTATAAACTTGCAATTGTGGCTTCTTGAATTCTTGGAATCATGTCAATAGCAAGGATACAGCTCATATTTTAATTTGAAAGGACAAAATTTGTTCTGGATGGAAGTCTCTACACCACCAAAAATTGGTGTCAAATTTCCAGCAATCTATGTTGCGCAGTATAATAAAGGTCACTCACTTTTTTCCATGCAGCAGACATGACACAACTCTTTATCATCTTTTCCATCAGTACTTGCGCACGTGCACTCCTCAAGGTCATACTTTTCACAGATGGAACCCGCACATTGCTGTAGAACAAACAGATATTAGTAAACAGTGGTGGGGGGGGGGGGGGGGGGGGAGAACAACCATGGTTTTGGTTATTTTCTTCTTTAAATCAGAACTTACACCTCTTTTTTCTAAGGGTCTTCGGTATAAGAAATCATTTAGACAAGTTACAGAAACCATGTCTGATTACTATTATTTTATCATGATAATCTGGAGGTGGGAGGATTCCCTCCATCCCACTCTTCATAAAGTAACAAACCGATTGGTCATTTAAGCCAAACATTTGTGTTTAGGGACGTACCAGCAGAAGGTGTTCATGGGCATTCAGATCATGCATTCACAAACACTTTGTAGTGTATATGAACAAAATCTTGTACAACTAAAACCCATCAGCTAATGCTTCTGCAAGCCCTGAGCTCACATTCTACAAAATACTACATCAATATTTACCCCTTTGATGCAGACTTGAGTTTGACGGTTACACTCTGTCAAATTCTCTCTAGGCTCAGACGGTGGACACTGTGCAGAAAACCCATTGCAAGTTCCCATCTTTGCACAGTCAGATTCGTCACGACATTTCTGAGAACGGTCCTTGAAGGAACACAGCGATGTACAACAGGGGCCTTGGCTTGGACTGCAAACAAAAATACTAATCATTAGTGTTGTAGGGATTTCCCAAAGAGATGACAGATATCAGTGTTTATGTATGAATATGTATGAAAATATACAGTTGTGCTCAAATGTTTGCATACCCTTGGAGAATTTTATACAGCAAGTATTATTTTTAAAGAAAACATGAATGAGCAGGCAAAACACTTTTTTTTTTTATTTTTTATGGAATTCATATTCATCTGTCGGTCATAATTGTCATTGATGCCAGGATCAAAACAAAACACGGCGACAAGTAAACAAATGAAATGACCCCTGTTCAAAAGTCTGCATACCCTTAGTCCTTAATACTGTTTATTGCCCCACTTAGCATCAATGACAGCGTGAAGTCTTTTGTAACAGTGGTCTATGAGGCCTCGAATTCTTGCAGGTGGTACAGCTGCCCATTCTCCTTGGCAAAATGCCTTCAGGTCAAGTAAAGTCTTTGGTCGTCTCGCATGAACGGAGATTTCCCCAGAGTGGCTCAATGATATTAAGGTAAGGAGACTCCAGAACCTGCACCTTTTTCTGCTGTAAGCAATGGAGGGTAAACTAGGCCTTGTGCTTAGGGTCATTGTCTTGCTTGAAAATCCAAGAACGTTCCATGCACAGCTCTTGTGCAAAAGAATGCAAATTGTCTGCTAGTATTTTCTGATAATATGCCGCATTCATCTTGCCATCAATTTTCACAAGATTCTATGTGCCTTTACCCCTAACACATCAGTGAGCCGCCAGCAAATTTCACAGTGGGGATGTATACTTGTTGCTATAGGCCTTGTGGACCCCCCTCCAAATATAGTGCTTATGGCTGTGATCATACATCTCTATTTTGGTCTCATTACTCCAGATTACAATGTGCCAGAAACTGTGAGGCATGTCAAGGTGTTGTTGGGCATATTGTAACCGGGCTATTTTGTAGCATTGACACAGTATTGATTTCTTTCTGGAAACTCCACCATGGAGCTCATTTTTGTTCAGGTATCTTCGCATTGCGTGCCCTGATACAATCACACTGTCTTTTGAAAGAGCAGCCTGTATTTCTCCTGAGGTTACCTGTGTGTTTTTCCTTGTATCCCAAACAATTCTTCTGGCAGTTGTGGCTGCAATCTTTCTTGGTCTACCTGACCCTGGCTTGGTATCAAAAGATCCCCAAATTTTCTACTTCTTAACTAGTGATTGAACAGTACTGACTGGCATGTTCAAGGCTTTTGATATCTTTTTATATCCTTTTTAGCTTCATAAAGTTCCATTACCTTGTTACACAGGTCTTTTGACAGTTCATTTCTGCTCCCCATGGCTCAGTATCTCGCCTGCTCGGTGCATCTATGTGAGAGCTAACAAGCTCATTGACTATTTATACACAGACACTAATAGCAATTTAATAAGTCACAGAGACATGAAATTGGCATTGTAATCTGTGTGTGTCTGTCACCTTGTGTGTCTGTACCAAGGCCAAACATTCCAGGGTTTGTAAACTTTTGATCAGGGCCAATTGGGCGATTTCTGTTATTATGATTTAAAAAAGGAGCCAAAACAACTGTGTGATAATAAATGGATTCAAATGATCACTATCCTTAAAAAAAAGTTTTTTGGCATGATCTCTCACAATTTTAACATCAAAATTTCACAATTTCTGCCACGGTATGCAAACATTTGAGCACAACTCTATATTAAAAACATATATCTGCAGTATATATGTAAAGGGTTAGCATAGGAAGTAATAGCATCAGACCGTCTTGTTCTATAACCTTGTACCCAATCAGCAAGTGATTCCTTGCTTCAAAGCAAACCAAATATAAATAAAATCCTAGGTGGAATGTCACCTATAGGTCAGTGACTTGGTCATTTAAAGGTGATGTGACATTTCATGCAGTTTTGAAAGGAACTGCTATATAGAAGAGGGCGAAGAGCTAAAATTTTCTATAAAATTCAATGCAATATCGCAACCCAGAGGCCTACACGTTAGTTAACAGAACAACCCCAGAAATGTAATTTCGTGCTTGTGTACAGAACTCTGAACTAAAAAGGTACAAGGCAGGCTTTAGATTTACTCTGCAACAAATGTCATTTTTGGTGAGATACTCCCTAACAGTTCTTCATAAAGAAATGCAGACATGGCATATTTTTTCATCAGAGCACTGAAAGTGCACCAGCTGACTTATCAGTACCCAGAGAACAAACTGCTTTTTCTGCAGAGAAAAAAAAAAAAAAAAAAAAGGTAGGAATCTCTACACATTGTAAAAATACTTGCATAAATGTAAAAATGTATTTCAAAAGCCAAAAGGGGATTGTTTTTCTGCCACAAAAGTGGAGTTACTTTTTAAAGTGGAATTCTGTGTTTAAGATTACTTAACTAGTTTATTGGGGATAAAAAGGCTCAAACAATCTATTTCCAATACAAAACGATGTGGCCACTGGGTGTGTTTTTAACAGACTGTAGTAGCATTACATACATACAGAGCCCGATCACAATAGAAGGCAGCTTAACGCACCATATTACAATTGTACTGCCCTTGCGATCTGTGCAATGTTAACATCCCAAACGCAGTATATTTGCCTGCACCGCATTACATGGTACAAAAGTACCATGCAATGTGGTTGCTGTGCGTTTTAAAAAGTGGTACATGCACTACTTTTGGTGAGGTGCAATTTCAGCCCATTCAAAATGAAAGGGTTTGAAATCACACTGCATAGAACTGCATGTGAATCACGCAGGAACTGCACAGTGGTTCGCATGCAATTCCTTGAATGAGCCCAAACTGCTGTTTCTTCCCTGAACAGAACTGTACTGTAATGCATCAAAAAATGCATTAAAAATGAACCAGATCCCAGTACAGTGGAAAATAAACAGGAAAAGGAAGAAAAATGTATTTTAACTCCTCCCATAATTTTCTTCTAGTCACATGCACATCTAGACAAGGTGAAGCATAAAAGGCTGTATTTGGACACCAACAGGCTCATATTGATGGTCCAGGATCATTTTTTGAAATGACAATCAAGTAAAGTTTAAAAAAAGAAAAAAAAAAACAAAAAAAAAAAAAAAAAAAAAAAAAAACAACTTGTCCGGATTTTGACAAAGGTCTACATACAGGGCCCAAAATTGGCTCTTGCTTTCCCGCTCCATCAACAGCGAATGCACCTAAAAAAGCCTTCTCTTGTGGACATGCAGTCTCTGCAGTGCAATGGACATAATAAATAAGCCTGCCAGGGCAGACATCTTCTCTACACAGCACAAAAAGGACACTTCCAAGGGATAAAAAGGAAGTGATCTGACATGAAGAGACCCAAAAGCATTATCTTGATGGGAGAAAAAAAAAAATTACTCCCCTAAAAAAGGAGGAAAAAAATCATCTTGAATGCATCTGGAAACGCATAAATAAATGCATTAAAGCGCAAAAAAGAATGCATCCAGAATGGATCTGGAGGATGTTTTTGTGCTGTGAAGTGGCCCCAAGGTAAGCCATATTCCGACTAATTGGAGGGTGGATGACAGCTCGATCACTCCTCAGCAGATCAGAGGAAGAAGCCTTAGTGGAAATGTAATGGAAATATTTTGGGCCAGCTTGGCTCAAACAAACTATTTAAAGTTACATTAAACACAGAAATATACGTTTAAATTTCACCATGATTGTTTTTGAAAATTATAAATTATTATGGTTTTTGAAAATTATGTGTTTTACAGTACAAAAGTACCTCAAGAATGCTTTGTCCTAGTCTTCATTCATTTTCGTTAAGTAAATTATATATTTTCTTTATGCAATTGTTTCTTTTAATTGCCTAAGGGTAAACTTTTTTTTTTTTTTATTATAATGGATTTTCATGCCTGTATTAGATAAATATATATACAGAAAAATGTATCTCATATCCTATGCACGCATGCAGATTTAGTAATGCGCAGCACATGCTAGATTACTGGGTACTGGAAATATTGTAAATCTAGGTGACAGTTCACTAAATTGCTGCTTTTTAAAATGTGTCCCTTGTAATGATGTCTAGGTGTCTTACTAGAGAGCATTAAATATACACAATATATCGGTGATGCCCTAAAAAAAGTGGTCTCCAAACTGTGGCCCAAGGGCCAGATGCGTCCCTTTGCTTGTCTTTATTCGGCCCTTGAGGCATTATTCCTCCCACTCACACCCCAAAATGGGTCACCATTCCTCACACTAGCACCATTCCTCCCACTAACACCCCAAAATGGGTCACCATTCCTCGCACTAACACCCACAATGGGGCACCATTCCTCGCACTAACACCCTACAATGGGGCACCATTCCTCGCACTAACACCCTACAATGGGGCACCATTCCTCGCACTAACACCCTACAATGGGGCACCATTCCTCGCACTAACACCCTATAATGGGGCACCATTCCTCCCACTTACATCAATTGTTTCTCCCCCTAATACCAAAGATGGGGCACGGTTTACTCCACTGGGCACAGTTCAGCCCCCCTAAAGTCTTTAGGACAATAACCTGGCCCTTTTTTTTTTTTAGAAAGTTTGGAGACTCCTGCTCTAACATATAGACTAAAGCAGCCATACTCTGTTCAAATCTCAGCCAGTTCAGCAGGGACCGACCGAGATTCGTCCCATGAGCAGGCTGAATGGATCAAAGCTGATCGATCAACTTAGGTACAACCAGCCTGTCACATTTTACGTGCATTATTGCTAGCTGCTATTAAAGTGGCTAGCAGTAATGACAGTGTTTTCCCGGCAGTGGGGTGGGGGAAACCATCCCCGCTGGGAGAACACAGACTTTGTGGTTGCAGAAAAGAAAAACCACTCTGTCTATTCCTGGCTTTATTTAATATAACACTCTCCAAATGTTCCATTGTGATCCATATCTTTGAGGTGTTTACAAAAGACTTGTCTTAGCAATGTTTTCTAACCACAGGGCACGTTGCCAATAATTCACCTCTGGCTCTACAATACAAATTCTGCATAAAAGACCACCAAAGCTACAACACATGATGAATTACAAAAAAGTCAGTAACACATAATTATGAAAAAGATGTTGAAGGTGAACAGCAACCTAATGTTTTATTTTTTCTTCTTTTCAGTACCCTTTAAAGGGGTTTTTACAGTTACCCTTTAGAAACTTTGGAGAACTAGAAAAGCATTCAAAACATTTGTTTTGCAGATTTCATACTATCATTTATGTCAAATGAACAGCTCAAGCAGGAAAAGGTCTCTTGTTTTCATGTGCAAGAACATAAGTAACTGACAACTCACTGATCAGGTGGTGTTCCACAATAAATAAAAAAAGCAATAATCAAGTTCAACAATAAATCATTATAGGGGACACAGTTTCTGCTGAGTATTTCATCTGAAATCTCCTTAGTACTATACTGTATGTGTGTAAAACATACATGATGACAACCTGGTAGTTTCACATTCTTTATTGCCACAAATAAAGAGGTGTCAAACCTACATCATTAAAAACTGCTAGATGATGTATTACATGTTCTTCATAATCACTCAGTCACTATGGGATTTTTTTTCTGCATTCTGCAAAAAAAACTGGTTGATTCTGCTCTCCATTGTCTCTCCCTCCTTGTCTGTGTCCCCACTGCAGTCTGAGGTTGTGTAGACCAGCCTGGCTAACACCTACTGAGCATGCACTAGTTTCAGTTCCCTTCTAAGCTGCTCATTCCCTCCTCCATCTTATCTGTGCAGCCCATGTGACTAGAGAACTATAGTCATACATGTGGGAGTAAACACTCTGGATAACTGACAGCTCACTCCTTTCCTCCTCCTCCATGCCCACTAAAAGCAAAAACACAAAGGGGTGGGATATTACAAGCTGATTGGTGGAGGCTTCACCTATCTGTAATTCAAAGCACATACAAGCAACAGACATAGGCTGGAAGGGCGTAAAACATACGGTGATTGAATTTTTTTTTTTCTTTAGTGACTGGCAGCAAAGGACTAGAAGCTCCTGCCACTGATGTTTCTCTGCAGACAGGCTCAGAAAGAGCTTGTCACATGACAGCTGTATATTGATTAGTAAAAAGGTACTTTATTTTTAGTATATGGACTATAGTGTACTGTGTTTGTTTCAATTTAAAAAAAAAAAAAAAAGAGAGAAAGGATAAAGTAAATTAAACTGTGTGTTTAGCATCACTTTAAGTTAAATCTCTGATACTAGGATCCACGCCATATCTTCAATGTTTTAAGCTGATGACTATGTAATAGTGTTGGGAAGGCTTTCCCATGTTTCAACCCAAAATATGAAGTGAGCATTATTTGAATGGCATATGTTACCCAAATACTGCTGCTGTGGACTGCTTTTTTTTTTTCTTGAGTACTAGCTAGGTACCCAATAAAGTCTCCACTGTGTGTATATTAAGAATTATGCCTAATGTTTTGTTTTGCACAAAGGAATTTTTTTCTATTAAAGAAAAATTACTGCACAACATAAAGCAATCAAAATGTGTATAATGAATGTAAAACGCCATGCCCAACAATTTCTATCAGATTATGGAAATTGGAACACTTAATCATACTGACAGCTCAATGCCAATCTGGAGCTGTAGTCTCCTCAACAGAATTCTAATCTTTGTACAGCTGGTTTTAAGCTGAAGTGACTGGCTTATCCATAAGACACATACCTGCAGCGTTTCCCAGGCTTTAATTTGCATTTCCTGTCTTCTGGTTCATTAGCATTAAAGCAGCAGTCATCTTTACATTGATCACTGTAACCACAATCACACTCCTCTCCTTGTTCCACAAGCCCATTACCACAGATGGGCTGGCCAGACTCTGAAACATGTAACACAAGGTCACATGAAATGGCAACACAAATCAACATTTCCTATATATTAAAATTCAACATACATTCTAGGAAGAATGGAATAAACATTACCTGCAGATACTTGCATGCGACACGAACTATCATTTTGGCATGGTGAAGGAGCAGGAGTGAAGGGCTCGTTCACATCATATGCGCATGAAAACTGATAGAAACTGGACGCACACATTTCACTTGCAGAGACGTCAGTTTACAGCAGTTTTCTTGCGAGCACCAATTATTTTTTTATACATTGCAGATTCCTGCGCAGAAAAAAATCTGCGCGTGATACTAGTGTTATGGTGTGAACGGGGCACATAGAGAACAACTGATTTCACTGTGCCCTTGCAGAATGTGTACAGAAAAACTGACGTCTCTGCAGCGTTGTGTTAATGAGCCCTTAAACCAGTCTGTGTATTAAAACCACTCAAACCACAATGGTGTGAAGCAGCCCTGAAAAAAGAAGCCATTGGCTTTGTATATATGTTAAAAAAAAATAAAAATATGGAGTTTGCAAAATGCTCCAAAAATAGCCTAATAAGTCCAATTTGGTTACTTGTTTCACAATAGAGTAGCAGTAGCTGCAACACATTTGGAGCTAAAAAGACTAGTATTGGCTTTTAGAGAAAAACCTGATAAAAAAAAAACCTTTAGGATGAATGGACAATTATTCAACACTGGTTAAAGGACAGGAGATGCTTAAAATTGTAATTCTAAAAATCAATATGTCCAATGTCAACAAAAGCAATGTGGTAGATAGGGGTTAATCTTCACCAAAATATGAAGCTGAACTCCAGTCAGATATAAAAGACACAATAATGCAGCTTTATACGCATTAATACATAATGTATTTTTAATGCAACTAGTGTAAACATCTGAATTAAACTTTATTTCTGCCCTATTGGATCCCCTCTAAGAGCAGCACCGAAGGCCAGTTATGTAAATATGATAAAAAGGAACAAGCAGACAGGAGTAGAAAACAACGATGAGAAGGATGACCTCATCAGTCTACTGCTGCTCTTCACTGTCCAGTTACAAGTTCATGCCACAAAATGTCCACAGTGTACATTTCAACTTCCACAAAGAAAGTAGTATTATCCTCCTGGCTGTCAGCTGTCATTTGTGCTACATAAACCTCTGGATTGAACTGACGCAAATGCAAATTGTTATATTGTACGTAACTTTTGGATAGAGCAGGAGGATTAGAACCCATATCAATGTTTCAGACATTTTGATGTGTGTGTTTCTACTAGGTAGAATAATCTTTATTTTGACCTGTGACCATTGTTATCAAAATAGAAAGTGATAGGTGATCCAAATTTTTAGAATTGTCCCTTGAAGAAGAGGTAAGGGGAATCTGCCAAAGGGAAATTGGTTACAAGGACAACTATCTAAGAAGGTAATATCCCTCAATTGTTAAAGAGCCTTCTTCACTTTCTGTTGTCTCCATGACAGGAAGTATAGGAAAGTCCCCTGAGTGGGATACAGATAGAAAAAAGAAACTGTCAGAAGTTTTAAACTGCTGCTATCTAAAAAAAAATAAATAAATAAATAAAAATACAAATTTTTGGCTATACACTCTAGCCCATAAGTGTCAAACTGGCAGCCCTCCAACTGTTACAGAACTATAGGTCTCATGAGGCACTGCACGGCGGACAGTTACAAGCATGACTCCCGCAGGCAAAAGGCATGATGGGACGTAAAGTTCCACAACAGCAGGAGGACCGTCTGTTTGACACCCCTGACTCTAGCCTGTAGAAATTAGGGCACAACAGATTACATTAGACTAAAATCCACATATACCCACTTCCCAACTACAGCAATGCAATGTCCCTGAGCTCCTTCGCCAGTGTGAGGAAGGCAGTGCCCGTCCCCTGCCCTTCTCATTAACTCGTGACAAATGACCAAACAATCTCACACCATGCTGGCACTTATGTAACAATGCCACTCTCAACTGTACTCTGCACAAAGATTTTCCACCTTGCGGTACCACAATCTAGGCGCCAGCAGTCTGAGAGATTGTCACTGGGTTAAATTAATTAACCACTTCACAGCGTTTATGACCAAGTCCCAAATACAGTTTCTTATAATATTCATATTTCTCAATACCTACCATACAGATTATTGTCCAGCATGAAATTAACTTGAAAATGGATATAGATAGAACAGGTCTCTGAGATCTAATTCTCATAGAAGGGGTGTGGAGGCCTAGGTACCTCCTAGCATAGGGATGCTTGGGTTCAAAATGCTACCCAATAATTGATGGTAAATATGACTTTATGCTGGCTATACTGTCAATTTCAGAAGTTCTAAAACATGCTGAAGGTTTAGAGACTCAGCTGACAAGCAATCTAGCACAAATATATATTGCACAGGCTTCCACTAAGGTATTTATGACCCAATGTCTTAGCTCTCCAGAATGCTCAAGCTTAGGAGGGCGACAGTTTTATTAGGGTTTCCAGAATGGAATGGTGGATTGAACTAATAGGCATGAGAGGGCCTGTAACTGTCCTGGTCTGATGAGAAGGCTCTGGCATCAGTTAACAGTTTGTGTATCACCTGCTGGTATTTACCAACTTGTACTACAAATTGTCATGGCTGAATCTAAATAACATGGCGTTCTTGCCCTTCCACACAGCTCAGTGCACATTAACATTACAGCCAGTGCAGACATCCTCTTCCTGGCTTATTCCAGGTGTCGGGTCTTCAACCATCTTGATTGGTCGGAGACATAAAATGACTTAACTCCAGCGCATATGCACGGGATTTCGTTCATTCCGGCACTGAGGTGTGCCAAAAATGTACTTTTTTTTATTGGAGAAGAGACATAGCAATATATAACCAACCTGCTCAGAATTGTTTGTCTTTTCACTTTAATTCTGCCTTAAATTGGAGCTCTAATACATTAAACATAAAAGATTATATGCAAATTTATTGTTGGAACAAATGTACATACCAACAAAACAGTAATTTCTTTTCTTGTCCAGAACCTGACTGATATTTCGGACACTACAGAGAGAGAATTTGTTGTTGTTCAGCTTGTCACCAGATGTTGCTCTGGCATACATGATAAAATTTCCATTCTCCTTGAATCCAATATTCTTTGACTCTCCTGGAGTACATTCAGATCCAGAATCATGCTGCAAATACGAAACAGGACAATGTTAAGGAAAAATAAAAACAAAGAGGAAGAAGAAAACATAGATAGGTTCTTGTACTTGCATGTTGTATTCTGTTTTTAGCATGCTTCTAAAGTCAGGACTCGTTTCATTATATAGTGACAAAAAGCATTCTTCTAAAGCTGGTGGGTTAACCTAGTTTCGTAGTGTAAGAGATTAGTGAAAAAGCCAAGAATGCAGAGGGGAAAAAAAAGAAAAGAAAGTCAGGCGAATTGAGTGGCAAGAAAAATCTGCCAAGCAGAAAGAGCTTAGCAGTTTCTTCTAAAGCATCTTGTGGTTGTACAGCGCTCTTGTCCACTAAATCACCATGTATTACCCAAACTTTTTCCCTTGTCAGATTTTCAGACACACACAAATCTAATGTCAGAAAAAGGACTAAATGAAACAAAGCTCAAAAAATGATACCTGAATGTTTAAATGAAATATTTTTTTCTATGCTAAAACATTGACACAGAGTATACACTATGTTGCCAAAAGTATTGGGCCAGCCCTGCAAATCATTAGATTCAGGTGTTCCAATCACCTCCATGGCCACAGGTGTATAAAATCAAGCACCTAGGCATGCAGACTGCTTCTACAAACATTAGTGAAAGAATGGGTTGCTCTCAGGAGCTCAGTGAATTCAATCGTAGTACCATGATAGGTTGCCACCTGTGAATTAAATCCATCTGTGACATTTCCTTTCTACTAAATATTCCACGGTCAACTGTTAGTGGTATTATAACAAAGTGGAAGCAACTGGGAACAACAGCAACTCAGCTACAAAGTGGTAGGCCACGTAAAATGACAGAGCGGGATAAGAGCATGCTGAAGCGCACAGAAGTCACCAACTGTCTGCAGAGTCAATAGCTAAAGTCCTCCAAACTTTGTGTGGCCTTCAGATTAGCACAACAGCACGTAGCGAGCTTCAGGGAATAGGTTTCCATAGCTAATCAGCTGCATCCAATCCTTAAAGCACCAAGTGGAACGCAAATCATCTGATGCAGTGGTGTAAAGCACGCCACCACTGATCTCTAGAGCAGTAGAGACATGTTCTCTGGAGTGACAAATCGCGCTTCTCTGTCTGGCAATCCGGTGGACGTGCCTGGGTTTTGGGCTGCCAGGAGAAAGGTACTTACCTGGTTGCATTGTGCCAAGTGTAAAGTTTGGTGGAGGGGGGATTTTGGTGTGGGGATGTTTCTCAGGGGTCGGTCTTGGCCCCTTAGTTCCAGTGAAGGGAACTCTTAAGGAATCAGCATACCAAGACATTTTGGACAATTTTATGTTCCCAATTTTGTGGGAACGGTTTGGGGATGGCCCCCTTCCTGTTTCAACATTACTGCATACCAGTGCACAAAGGAAGGTCCATAAAGAGAAGGATGAGCGAGTATGGGGTGGAGGAACACGACTGGCCTGTACAGAGTCCTGACCTCAACCCAATAGAACACATTTGGGATAAATTAGAGCAGAGAATGGGAGCCAGGCCTTCACGACCGACATCAGTGCCTGCCCTCAAAAATGCACTACCGGAAGAATGGTCAAACATTCCCAAAGACACACTCCTAAACCTTGTGGACAGCCTTCCCAGAAGAGTTGCAGTTGTTATAGCTGCAAAGGGTGGAGCAACTCTGCCGTTAAAGTTCATGTGAGCATAAAGGCAGGCGTCCCAATACTTTTGGCAATATAGTGTATTTAAAGGAAACGTGTCACACTCTTAAGTGAAAGAGGAGAACAGCTCTGACTGAGACTGCTCCCTTCAAAAGGAAACGGACAAGTAATGAGCTACCATTTCAAACCTTTTGAAAATGCTAGTTGCTCAGGCTGCCAAGCTGACCCTCTGCATATCATCTAAATCTAAACTAATGAAACTGAAACACACATGCAAACTACACTGTCTGCATGTTACAGGTCTTTGAGCCAGAAAATATTTAAATTCGACAAAGTTTCAAAATCTCAAACGTCTGCCTCCATATTTCTCTCATGACAGGTCTTTGAGGGGTCTGTTTATAAATGTTTTCACCCAGGATTCATATTTTTTCAACCAAATCAATAAGAAAAAGGTCTGAATCCAGGATGAAAACATTTATAAATAGACATACAAAAAGTGTGTTAGTACAGTAGCAATGAGATTTGCAGCTTAAAAAAGAAACTTCATGCTATTTTTTTTTTTTAAATTAAAAGTCAGCAGCATACTATAGCTGCTGGCTTAATAAACACACACACTTTTCAGTTCAGTTTTTTGCTGGTCTCCCAGTCCCTTACACTGCCATGTTGACTGTGGGACATTGCCTCTGACTCCCTGTGGCTTCACACCTAGCTCCCTATTGAGCATGCGTGAGCCATGCTGTGATCTGTGAATGGTTCTGCAGCTTCTTGGGACCTGTCCCGAAGTGTCCCACGAGTATTCTGGCAAGTAGGGAGGGTAGTGAACTTCTGCTGGGATCGCCTAGGTGATTGCAGCAGAAGTGGAAGCGGGCACCTGCTCTGCGCCCCCCTTCCTCCTAGTAGAGATTGGAGGGAGAGAGGAGGAAGACCTGAACTTTTTAAAGCTATAATAAAAAAACAAGTATGGTTCTTCATAAGATAGAACTATGAAAAAAACCTAAAACCAAATCTTCTACGTTCATCAATGGCCAACACAATACAGCAGCCAGCTGCTCAGGCTGCAATCACAAATTTCAGATTATACATGCATCAAGTTTAGTTGCAGAAATCACAAAAAAATATAGCCAGCCATCAATACAAAGTTCCAGCCAACGTACATTTATAATGAAAAACTGGACTTTGCAGAATTAATTTACTCCTGGAGAATCGTGATGTGGGCCCATGGAGTACAACCAATTATGAAACTGTATACTCAACAGCCTAAGCATTTTAAACATATCAAATGAAAAAAAAAAAGGTTTTTGTTTTTTTTTTTTTACACACACGTGCGCGAGTTTGCAGGTGGTATATATAATTCAGATTGGAAAAATGGCTAAAATATCAAATAAATGTTAAGTACATTGTACAGAATGGAGAGTTAATATCCATTTGAAGAGGGTTAACACCACTGCACACAGATTGAATTGGTGAGACATATTTATGTCAACACAGTCCTTCCTCATTCATTATAGCCCTTTGGCATTTCTGAACATGACTCTGAAGATGCGTCATTGTAGAAAACTTGACGTACTGATATAGATCACCATGGCAAGCTAAATGTTAATATACTATTGCAGTGCCTTTTTTAGCTATATTTATGATAGGTGTGGATTATAAAATTGTTTCAAGCATTGAAGGGTATTTTTTAAATTTTATATACAGTCAGGTCCATAAATATTGTGATATCGACAATTCTAACATTTTTGGCTCTATACACCACCACAATGGATTTGAAATGAAACAAACAAGATGTGCTTTAACTGCAGACTGTCAGCTTTAATGTGAGGGTATTTACATCCAAATCAGGTGAACGGTGTAGGAATTACAACAGTTTGCATATGTGCCTTCCACTTGTTAAGGGACCAAAAGTAATGGGACAGAATAATAATCATAAATCAAACTTTCACTTTTTAATACTTGGTTGCAAATCCTTTGCAGGCAATTACAGACTGAAGTCTGGAAAGCATAGACATCACCAGACGCTGGGTTTCATCCCTGGTGATGCTCTGCCAGGCCTCTACTGCAACTGTCTTCAGTTCCTGCTTGTACTTGGGGCATTTTCCCTTCAGTTTTGTCTTCAGCAAGTGAAATGCATGCTCAATCGGATTCAGGTCAGGTGATTGACTTGGCCATTGCATAACATTCCACTTCTTTCCCTTAAAAAACTCTTTGGTTGCTTTTGCAGTATGCTTTGGGTCATTGTCCATCTGCACTGTGAAGCGGCATCCAATGAGTTGTGAAGCATTTGGCTGAATATGAGCAGATAATATTGCCCGAAACACTTCAGAATTCATCCTGCTGCTTTTGTCAGCAGTCACATCATCAATAAATACAAGAGAACCAGTTCCATTGGCAGCCATACATGCCCACGCCATGACACTACCACTACTATGCTTCACTGATGAAGTGGTATGCTTAGGATCTTGTGGTGAACCCTCTGTATTCACTCTGAAGTCTTCTCTTGATTGTTGACTTTGACATACACCTACCTCCTGGAGAGTTTTCTTGATCTGGCCAACTGTTGTGAAGGGCGTTTTCTTCACCAGGGAAAGAATTCTTCAGTCATCCACCACAGTTGTTTTCCGTGGTCTTCCGGGTCTTTTTGTTGCTGTTGCTGAGCTCACCGGTGCGTTCCTTCTTTTTAAGAATGTTCCAAACAGTTGTTTTGGCCACGCCTGTTTTTGCTATCTCTGATGGGTTTGTTTAGTTTTTTCAGCCTAATGATGGCTTGCTTCACTGATAGTGACAGCTCTTAGGATCTCATCTTGAGAGTTGACAGGAACAGATTCCAAATGCAAATAGCACACTTGAAATGAACTCTGGACCTTTTATCTGCTCATTGTAATTGGGATGAGGGAATAACACACACCTGGCCATGGAACAGCTGAGAAGCCAATTGTCCCATTACTTTTGGTCCCTTAACAAGTGGGAGGCACATATGCAAACTGTTGTAATTCCTACACTGTTCACCTGATTTGGATGTAAATACCCTCAAATTAAAGCTGACAGTCTGCACATCTTGGTTGTTTCATTTCAAATCCATTGTGGTGGTTTATAGAGCCAAAAATGTTAGAATTGTGTCGATGTCCCAATATTTATGGACCTGACAATTCTAACATTTTTGGCTCTATACACCGCCACAATTAATTTGAAATGAAACGAACATGATGTGCTTTAACTGCAGACTGTCAGCTTTAATGGCCAGGTGTGTGTTATTCCCTCACTTGTTAAGGGACCCAATTACAATGAGCAGATAAAAGGTCCATGAGTTCAGTTTTCAAGTGTGCTATTTGCATTTGGAATCTGTTGCTGTCAACTCTCAAGATGAGATCCAAAGAGCTGTCACTATCAGTTAAGCAAGCTATCATTAGGCTGAAAAAAACAAAACAAACCCATCAGAGAGATAGCAAAAACATTAGGCGTGGCCAAAACAACTGTTTGGAACATTCTTAAAAAGAAGGAACGCACCGGTGAGCTCAGCAACACCAAAAGACCCGGAAAACAACTGTGGTGGATGACCGAAGAATTCTTTCCCTGGTGATGAAAACACCCTTCACAACAGTTGGCCAGATCAAGAACACTCTCCAGGAGGTAGGTGTATGTGTGTCAAAGTCAACAATCAAGAGAATACTTCACCAGAGTGAATACAGAGGGTTCACCACAAGATGTAAACCATTGGCGAGCCTCAAAAACAGGAAGGCCAGATTAGAGTTTGCCAAATGACATCTAAAAAAGCCTTCACAGTTCTGGAACAACATCCTATGGACAGATGAGACCAACATCAACTTGTACCAGAGTGATGGGAAGAGAAGAGTATGGAGAAGGAAAGGAACTGCTCATGATCCTAAGCATACCACCTCATCAGTGAAGCATGGTGGTGGTAGTGTCATGGCGTGGGCATGTATGGCTGCCAATGGAACTGGTTCTCTTGTATGTATTGGATGATGTGACTGCTGACAGAAGCAGCAGGATGAATTGTGAAGTGTTTTCGGGCAATATTATCTGCTCATATCCAGCCAAATGCTTCACAACTCATTGGACGCCGCTTCACAGTGCAGATGGACAATGACCCAAAGCATACTGCAAAAGCAACCAAAGAGTTTAAGGGAAAGAAGTGGAATGTTATGCAATGGCCAAGTCAATCACCTGACCTGAATCCGATTGAGCATGCATTTCACTTGCTGAAGACAAAACTGAAGGGAAAATGCCCCAAGAACAAGCAGGAACTGAAGACAGTTGCAGTAGAGGCCTGGCAGAGCATCACCAGGGATGAAACCCAGCGTCTGGTGATGTCTATGCGTTCCAGACTTCAGGCTGTAATTGACTGCAAAGGATTTGCAACCAAGTATTAAAAAGTGAAAGTTTGATTTATGATTATTATTCTGTCCCATTACTTTTGGTCCCTTAACAAGTGAGAGGCACATATGCAAACTGTTGTAATTCCTACACCGTTCACCTGATTTGGATGTAAATACCCTCAAATTAAAACTGACAGTCTGCAGTTAAAGGAAATCTTTTCCTTTCATTTAAAATCCATTGTGGTGGTGTATAGAGCCAAAAATGTTAGAATTGTGTCAATGTCCCAATATTTATGGACCTGACTGTATATATTTATTGTGTGCAATAAAAAGTTTTCAGATTTCCTTTTGATGAGGAGACAGTTTTGGTTAACAGTGCACAAAGGAAAGAGTACGACTATCCGTAAATAATTTTTTTTCAAATTTGGAAACCTAAAAAGAAGAAAAAATAAAAAAAAAAAAAAAAAAAAAAAAAGAAAGAAAAGAAAAGAAAGAAAAAATCATACCGGAGAGCCAAAGTTGTGGCCAACTTCATGAGCAAAGGTGATATGAGAGACTTTGGGAGGCACATGGGAGCCATAATTTTGAACAGTGATGATTCCTGTGTTCAGGGACTTCTTCTTCCCATCAGAATAGAGCTTACTTTTTTCACAAATTCCACCAGAGCTGCCTAAAACAGTATAAAAACACCACATTGCAGTAAATTCATGTTTATCTCAACTGATTAAAGAAAGCAAAAAAATAGCTTATGGTGCCTTGATTCCCTGCACATTCATGCTTGGGCAAGCCATTGGGCAAGACTATTTAAATGACTGCTCGTCCGACGCACACACCCTTTGTGTAGAAGCCAAAACGTGTCAAGGAAGTGATGTCGGACGTAAAAAAAGGGAAGTTGCGGAGCAGCCATCTTGACTGAGGTTTTTTTTCATTCACTAATTGACATTTTACAGAGGATTCATATTTTCTCTATAAACGGAGGAGTAAAACGTTTTTATTAAATGTTTTTATTGTAAGCATAACTTTATTAAATCACTTTGAATATGATATACTACCCCATAAAGATTTTGTTTTGACCCTCATTATGCTACCACATGTAGAGTGAACTGAGCAGGGATGGGTTGGATGAGGAGAGCTTTTCATGCTTAAGAAAGTGTTTAACCACTAGCCTACAGGGCAAATATACCCCCTTCCTGCCCAGGCCAATTACCAGCTTTCAGCGCTGTCACACTTTGAATGACAATTGCACGGTCATGCAACCCTGTACTCATATGACATTTTTATAATTTTTTTTGTGACAGATAGAGTTTTATTTTGGTGGTATTTAATCACCTCTGCATTTTTAATTTTTTCTTAAACCACAAACCACTGAAAATTTTGGAAAAAAAAAAGTTTCTAAGTTGTTATATAAAAATTTTGTAAATAAGTGATTTTTCTCCTTCAGTGATGTGAGCTAATGAGGCTGCACTGATGGGCACTGGTAGGTGGCACTGATGGGCATTGACAGGCATTACTGATGGGCACTGTTAGGCGGCACTGATAGGTGGCACTGATGGGTGACACTGAAAGGCAGCCCAGATGGGCACTGATGTGGATGGGCACTGGCAGGTGGCATGGATGAGCACTGAGAGCTGGTACTCATGAACACTGACAGGTGGCACTGCTGGCTACACTGATCATCAGGGCACTGATCATCAGTGCACATGATTACCGGAATGCCGATTACCGGCTCTCTCTCGAGCTGTCAGCGTGACAGTTCGTGAGGAGAGAAATGCCGATAACCTGCATTTCCCTGTTTACATGCGATCAGCTGTGATTGGACACAGCTGATCACATGACCGAGCTGACATCTTCGGCTCTTTCCGTGGATCGGTGATCCACTGTATCCAAGGGACACAGCGCACCGCCGATCGCCGCACACTCCCGGAGCCGTGCATGCGCGGTGAGAATGAGAGGACGTCATATGAAGTCCTCCCAGAACAAGAGAACCGCCTTGCGTCTGTCATTGGACTATATGGTGGGTGGGAGGTGGTTAATCTGGTAAGGTGCATGGTGTGTAAGGTGACGGGGAGTGTATTTTACATTTACACATATACGTGCGAATATTAGGGAAGCACCTTTTTGTATCCAAAAGGATATTGCACTATTATTGGTTTTCTTTGAGGAAATATGAAGAAGAAAGACTGATTGGAGCACGGTTTTTGGAGTATATGAGATTGAGAGCTAGAGACAAGTTTTGATAGAGTAAGGCTGTGTAATACAGCCATTTAGATGTGGACACTAAGTGGGGTGACACGTCAGTAACCACAGGGTGATTATATGATATTTTGTATATTTGTGTGGAATAATGCACTATATTGAGTTTTTTTTTTTGAGGTTTTCACGGATTAAAAAAAATATCTTCATGAAGGTGTATTAAATCTGGGAGCATTTATATAATTTTTTTTCTGAGGATATCACAGATGCTGAAATATTATACTACCTTATTCTAAATTCTGGACAGGCAGCTTCAGGCTGAGGCTGGTGCCGTGGGACTAAATTCTGAGACGTGATGCACTCCCTTACAAGAACCTTTGTGAGTGTGCGTATAGTTTTTTTTTCCCCCACTTTACTCAAATTGTTAAATTAACTGAGCTATGTTTTCCCTATAATTTGTAAGTCAGTATAATAAAACATTTACTAATGCCTTGGCAAACTACATACAGTTGATGCAGCAACTACAAAAGAGTTGTAGTAATGTAAGCAAGAGTCCAAGCATTTACTCTAGATTTCACTGCCTCTATAATGGAAAAATGTTAAGTAAATTAACAGTTTAGCAATTGCTGTGTAGTCAAGTGTAACCTATATTTGACATCACAAAAATCTGGACATAGGATATCAGAAACCCTTTAAATGCAATGTTTGTTTGCTCAGTTACTTGGTGCCATATTGTAAAACATTTAATTTTCAGTTAAAACGTGAGAAACAACAAGCAGAATGAAACTGCAAATTTAAACTGGTGATCATTTCTGGAAATAACTTTAGTAAACAAAACCACAGATGTCTTCATGATGCTGCAAAAATTCACACTCTGGGAAGTGACATTAGGCATCAAAAGGCAGATGTATAAAAGAGGTCATTTATTTGGCATGCAGAAGCACATGATGGTGCCATAGAGTAACAGGCTGTGCTTTCTCTGATGAGAGTGAGGAGTTGAAATAGAGAAGTTTCATTGTTCATGAACCTTCTCACAGCAGGGACCCATGTGCCTACAAACTTAAAAACAGGAATCTCATCCACTCCCTGCTGTGAAGAGCTACCTGCAGGCATTTCATTTTTACTTCTAATAGATCAAGAAATACATAAGCAGCACAATTTGAGGAATGATTCTGCCCTATGACAACTTGCTGTCTTTTTATCGTGCTTACTGTGAGAAGTAAATTTGATTATCAGACCGCAACAAGGAATAAAGGGCTGCAAGTTAATAAACCTCTCACTTTTGTTCCGGGAATCTATTTAGGAGGATTTAGGAGGCTGTGCTGCAAAATGTCTGACAATTCAAGTTTACTGCCAGAGCAAGAAAACTAATTTTATAATACACTTTATTGTTGGTGGCTACAGGCAATGCAAACAAACAGAATATATCATTATCTCAGACTACCTAGCTGATATGTCAACTATCATCACAAGTAAAATGAAATTGCCTTATTGTGTGAGGAGAGAACTGAAAGGCCACTTGCAAATGGTTAGGAGGATGACTGAAGGGATATATTTCCACCTGCTGGTGACCAATAAATGTGGGTATTTTCTCTGTTTTAATGCAATTAGCTGTAATCTTCATTTTTTTTTTAGTAAACAAATATATCGTTGATCATTCATGATCTAAAAGAAAATGTGTAAAACCAGTAGATATACTGATTTGGGTTATTTTCATCATGGAAATGCAGCAGAATACATCTTGGCTTAAATTTATGAAGACCAATTATTTATTTGCAAACTTTCATAACAGAAACAAAAGAAAAAAAAAAAAACTTGTGTGTTTTCAAAATTTTCAGTCATTTTGTTGTTAATTTAGCAAAAAATAAAAAACCCAGTGGTGATTAAATACCACCAAAAGAAATCTCTAGTTGTGTGAACAAAATGTTAAAAATTTAGTTTGGGTACAGTGTTGCATGACCGCGCAATTGTCACTCAGTGTGAGAGCATTGAAACCTGAAAATTGGCCTGGGCAGGAAGGGGGTAAAAGTGCCCGACACTGAAGTGGTTAAATAACCATGTACTGTGATGGAATATTTCATTATCACTAAAATGAAGACTGTATGTCTTAATGATTTTTAGCCCTGACTGGTTCATTGTATGTTAATAAACACATTTCTGTCCTTTATCTGTACATAGCCATCTATTCAAAGAAACAAGCTGCCTAGAGAGTCACGTTTCTAACCCTGCTCCAAACAAACAGCTTTAAAAATGTAAGAAATATATTTATTGTTTTTAGGTATACTGTGTGAATGAAAATGCAAACACAGTGTGGGGGGTTTTCAATGTGCAATCTTCAACAAACTCTTCTCTATAAATATCCCAAAAGAAAGAAAAGTCACACTTTCACCCTTGAAAGTAAAACACCATAAACCTTTTCTCAAATACCTCTTATATACTCAACCCCAACACCCTAATAATAATTCACACTGCAAATAATGTCCGCAAAAATAGTAAAGTCCAAAATAAATCTTCAAATATATTACATAAAGTATCCGATTCACTTCGCCAACCCAGATCCAGAGCACCTCAAAAAAATTGAAAAACTAAATATAGTGTATTACCTTTAAAATCTCCAAATATTTTAATCAGTGATAAGTGATAAGTGATTCATGCGTGATTGCAGCATAAACCAGCACTTCAGTGTGTGTAATGTCAACTTCTACCCTGCATGTATGCCTTTTTCAATCTCACCTATTCCTCATGAGGGTAAAGAAGAGAACCATCAGTGGAGTATAAAGGGTAATCAACAAATTTTAAATAACATCTTACATTAAAGATTAGAAAATCTGTCCATCTGTCCCAGCAGTTCTTAAACTGAACATCCAATAACCAAAATGGCCGTGCTGCTCCTTCCGGTTTAGCTTCTGATGTCACGTTCCTCACGAGTTTCGTCACTTCCGACTTCTCGAGGGAGAATCCCTTGAAGTGACAAAATTTGTTGATTACCCTTTATACTCCACTGATGGTTCTCTTCTTTACCCTCATGAGGAATTGGGGAGATTGAAAAAGGCATACCCGCAGGGTGGAAGTTGACATTACAAACCCTGAAGTGCTGGTTTATGCTGCAAGAGGGTAATTGCCTTGAATCCCACTATTGTGTGGCACCACTGAATGTTTACCTCACTTGTAATGCAAGTTGACATATAATCACTATTTCACATGTTGTTAGGTTTGCTGTGATTTCAAGAGGATAAGAGTATATAACCTCACTATTGTGAGGTGTCACGGAGTGTTCACTTTATTTTGATATTCACTTTTTGATGTGTTGGAACTCACAGAGTGCTGTGTGGATTTATTTAATTTAATTTATTTATATATAAAGATTTTTTTCTTCTTTTCTCTTCACATTAGTAGAGTACCCACTGGAATATTGTTTTATACATGAATCACTTATCACTGATTAAAATATTTGGAGATTTTAAAGGTAATAGACTA